AACCGGCCCCGTGCGGCGGCCCGCCTGCCGTCCGGCCTTTCCTCTCACGCCCGAGCCTCAACCCCCCTCGGGTGCCACCCCTCAGAGACCCGCGCGGCCCTGCCCGGCTTTTTCCAACCCGCAAACCCGCTTGGTTTTACCCGGCGTGGAGCGGCTGCTCCGTTACCGCGTCTGCGAGCAGCCGGGGGAGAAAGAAGCTGAGGAAAGCCGGCAGCGCTTTCTGAGACAGGAGGGGCGGGCAGGAACGCGCCTTTTCGTTGAATTTCTTGACGTTTAGGTGTTTGAGATCGTCCTATAGGGCACAGGAGCAGCTAGAGGTGAGGGCTGACCTATTTTAAAACTGGTTAGGGCTAACGTTTTCTAGAACAAGCCTTGCTTTTTAAAGGTGAATTGCTCAGTGCTGCATAACATCAGGCCTTGGGTGGCTTTGCCGGTTAGCCACGGGCCCCGGCAGCGTGCCTCGTCTCCCCTCATACACCCGTTTCAGGTTGCTGAGCCCTGTGGCAGGAGTTTGTGGACCCTCTTTCCATCTCCAGCACCCGCTGCAGGCAGCAGAAGGCACTAGATGGCACTGCACTTCACGCTAACGGGCTTGCAGGCTCCCAGCCGGCAGTTACGCGAAGACCCGATGACGGGGAGAGCTGACACAGGACCGTCGGGTGCTCCGTGCACCGATCTGTCTGTCTGTCAGTGGAAAACTGGGGGAGCTGAGCACCAGGACAGCCATACAGGAGAAAGAAGCAGGCTCTGTAAGTTGCCTGGTTTTAAAAGCTGCCTTTGGGGAAGGCTTTATACAATGGTTTTCCATAATCTCTCAATCTGCAGCCCCTAAACTTTTCCTAATGGCACAACAGACCCTAGAGTCTCTTAGCAATAGTCTGGCTTCTGCTAGTTACCTTTTTCAGGCTCTTTAGAGCCATATTCTTCTCCCCCGTTGTGCAGGCCACATGCTGAAAGTCACAATTGCACCAGGAGGCCCAACCCTAATCCTGCAAGTCTGATGCGATGAATGAAATTGATCTTTGAAGAGCTGCAGTTACTAGGCCCTTGGCAACAAACCAGCAGATTCCTCCGTGAGGAATGCAGTACCGTACAGAAAACAGGAGGATGTGTAGAAAGCGATACTGGCTCATGAAGACCAGCAAAGGACTACATATTCTGACATAAAAGACAAAGTATGCACAAACTGCAGTGAGTATAGGAACAAGTGAGTTGTAAGACTGTTCCCCACGCACTTCATGTCTAGCTGATCCCATCTATCTCAGCGCTGTGCTAATGTATCCGCCACAGCGCTGCCTAGGCACCAAATACAACATTAAATAGTTCATCATCATCATAAATCACAGCCCCGCTAAGCAGGAGAGCTTCTGGATAATGTGAGATTGCGGCTCTTAGGCTTGCGTAGCCGGTAGAGGAGGGGGGGGGGGTGGCCGGGTCGCAGGGGCCATACCCTGGCCTTGCTGGGAGGGTGTACCCCGCATCGTCTCGAGGGAGGTGCAGGCTTCTCCATTTGTCTCTGAGGGGCTCAAGTGAATTTGATCAACCCTAAAGCTACCTCGAAATCTCATCAGCTTTTCCTTCTGCCTCTACCGTAATACAAGAACAAGGACAATTTGGTAAAGAGACTAGCAAATCGGTGTGTAACCGAAGAGGAAAAACTCCAGATGAGCAGAATTCCCTACTCCAGGGCATCAGGGCTTTTTTTTTACAAGTTGGCTCACAGGAGAACAAGTTTTCTTGCGATGAATAGTTTGATACCTGGACACCTCTGAGATGAGACTCAGAAACACCCTGAGAAATCTCAGCCTTCTGCCTCAAGGCACAGACCCGATTGCTGCAGGGTCCAGGGAGGAATCTGTCCTTCAGGGGAATGTGTCAGTTTTCCTCGGAAACATTGGACAGCGTCTGTGCCAGAGGCGAGATACCTGACTAGGTGGGCCAATGGCTTGGTGAGAAGCAGCGAAGCTTATGGCCCTGCTGAGATCCAGAATTGTATCCGAGGACTCTCCACAGGAAAGAGGAAAGAGAAATTGAGTCTCTGTGAAGCAGACAGGTTCAGCACAATGTGTTCCTTACAGCTGCGTGAAAGCGCCGTGCTCTGGCTTTCATCTGCCAGATCAATGCACTGGCTGCTTACGCTGTGCCGAGGAGGCAGGGCAGCTTAAGTGCATTGGGTTGCTGCTCCGAGGCACTTGCTGCAGCTCCACAAGCTGGCCCAGCCACCGTGCCAGAGATGCGTCTGTCCCTTCCTTCCTATGCCCACATGTTCCTTCACCTCTGGGAAGGAGTCTGAAGTCACTGCAACTCCCAGCACTGGGTGTTAAACTCCCAGTTATCCCATTTTTCAAATAATTTTTACGCAACATTTGTAACTCGGCTGTAAATATTTGCTCTCTGTCTAGAAAAGCATCTCTTTGCCCCGGTGTCTGCAGAGCTACAGCTGAGCTAAGGTGTAACTCCCATCGTGTGACCAAATTGCAAGAGTGTCACTGTCCCAATGGACAGAGCTGTATCTGTCTCGTGGCGGGGGGGCGCTTGGGATTTTGGCACCTGGGCACACTTCTAACCCTGTGACCGGTTACAGGGAGCAAACCGGGGGCCAGGCGACCTGTCCTGGCGTGCAGGTGCCTCCTGAGCTAGTCTGCTCTTGTTTGAGCCTGTAGTCTTTGGAAAAAATGACCTCTTGAGTATGACTGGTGCTAATAATTTTCATAAATACTGAGGCCAGCAGCCACTTGGGATTTTGGCACCTGGGCACACTTCTAACCCTGTGACCGGTTACAGGGAGCAAACCGGGGGCCAGGCGACCTGTCCTGGCGTGCAGGTGTCTCCTGAGCTAGTCTGCTCTTGTTTGAGCCTGTAGTCTTTGGAAAAAATGACCTCTTGAGTATGATTGGTGCTAATAATTTTCATAAATACTGAGGCCAGCAGCTACGTTTGGGAAGAGGGTGCTGGGTCTAGCAAGCAGGAGAGCGGGTGTTTCATCCATGCCACTGGCTGCTCGAGTGACCTGTGGCGAGTCACTTACGCATTGTCCTTCCACACCAAGGGAAGGTGTTTTTGCCACTTACTGCCTTATTTTAATCACCGGCAAGACCTACCGCTTTGGCTGTGGATTGCGAGATGCTGGGAGGTGAGGGAGACCCTATGAGTCCAACATCCCCGTTGCTGATGTGATGTTGCTGCATCGCACCTACCCTTCTGCGATAGCTGGTGCGCGGGGAGCCTGCCCTTGAATTGTGCTGCAGGTCTGGGTGATCTCTTCCTCCGTGGAAATCGGCCTGTGTTTTCCTTCTGAACTGCGGAGCCAATTCCCCACGGCAGCTGTACCTGCAGAAGGAGGAACGGGACTGCTAGGGGGGTGTTAACTACCCAAGGAGAAACGTGAGGGGTTATAAAACCCCTGGAGCGATTAAGGGTTTGGCTGCGGGCAGGATGCGAAGAGATCGGCGCTTGTCTGAGCCCGGCACTACACTTAACCTTGAAACCTCTCTCTGCTGCCGAGAGAGGAAGCGGTTGGGGGCTGTCTGGGCATGTCAGGCTCCACGGTGGCTACTCTGAGCCTGGGGAAAGGTCAGAGGCTCAGCAGCCCTCTGACAGCTAAGCGATTAATTAGGTGACTTATTGGTTTTGGAGGGGATCCCAAACCAGCCTTCTGAGGAAGCGTTAGCTGGTGAAGCTCTTTTCGAGCGCCTGAGCCAAAAGCAGCAGGACGATTAGGGGCTGGCTGCTCGTGCTACGGGGTTCATTACATGTGGGGCTCAGCAGCCTGAGCCTCGCCGGTGGGCTCCCCAGGCTCATCCTAGGTGTGTGAATTTGGGCTTACAGGTCCTTTTGTTTTCGAGCTGGGATAAGATTTCCCTGCTGACAGGCAGCATTCCTCCCTGGGGATTTTTTGACTCTCCCTCTCATTCCTGTCTAGCCACGGGCTGGTGGTGGGACCTGGGATCACACCAACCTGATCACTCCCAGCTTCTTTCCACCATGGGTCCTGAAGCCGCAGCTTTCCTTGGGCTCCTCTTCTCTCCTGTGAAGAGGAAGGATGTACAGGCACTTTGATAACCGAGGTTTCTCTGAGGTCTGTACTTTTGCAACTTCCCCTCCGCTGCAAATGGGCTCTTGGTCACACTGCAGCACCTGAGACGTGAGCCACAGAGATGGCCCAGCCAGACCTACGACCCCTCCCAGTTACTCTGGTGAAGCTGAGGACAGTAGTTTATTCTTCACCCTAGGGCTGGTGTTCATTACCTCAGAGAGCCTTACACCATCTCTCCCATTTGTGGCAGGTCCAGCCGGATGGGACAGATGGAAACTGTGTCACATTTGTGTTGCATGATGAGGACCACACTCTCGGCAACTCCCTCCGGTACATGGTCATGAAGAAGTAAGTGGAACTTCTGTGGTGCCTGGCATCGCTGAGGGTACCTCTGTCTCCTACTCTGGCCTTCTCCTTACTGATCTGCATCTCAGTTGTTGCTGGAACAAGGCAAATGATCAGAAACTACCTCTGTGCGTGCCTGTTAGAGTCTTTGTATCAGACATGGTGCCAAAGGCTCCTCACCTGCTACCTCTCTTCACAGGATTAACTTCTTCCTTGTGCTGTTAGTGTCAGGACCCTGAGAGCACTAATAGGCCTTAGCGGGCCTGACCAGCCACACCTGGGGCCTCCACCCACACCCTGCCCATGGGCCCGGGAGCCCCATTTAAGCTCAGCTCAGGGCTTTCAGTCCCTCCTGAGCTATGTTGTAGGAGTACAGGTCTCCAGCTTAGCCTGTACTGGGCTGTGGACTCTGTTCACCTGGATGCCCACCCACGGACTGACTTCCTGACCTGACCTCAGCCCTTCCTCATCGTTGTGCACCTGCTTGGTGATCACTGGGTAGTGTCTGACCCTCATTACCCTCACCTGACCTGACACTGACCTGCAGATTGACTTCCTGGCCTGACCTTGGACCTGCTTCATCCCCACGAACCTGCCTGATGATCTGGACCCTTGACTGACCCTGGCTACCAGCTTCGCACCCGCCCCACTCCCTCGCTTGGGTGCTGTGGGACAGGGCTAGCTACTGAGGCCTCTGCCCTGTCGGCTGTCTTACTATTCATGGCTCCCAGCTCCCCGTCCCTTAGGGAACAGCCAGCCCTCACTGCTCCTTGGTGGTTAGTTATGGAGGAAATTTAATGTCTGACATGTGACAGACTTCTGAATGTCTTATTTGGCCCTGGGTAAAATGATGTGCAACTCCATGTAAGTACACGTGGTCAGGCAGTATCTATGTCTCCTTCTGAGACAAGCGCTGTCAGAAAAGAGGGTAGGAACAGCCGGTATTAAGCAAATTGATCATCTGTCATGCTTGTGTGGAGATGCAGGAATTGATGCTGGGAATTAATTATCCTGCTGCCCCCATCAAAATATACAAATAGGTTCACCCTGGTTGCCCGATTTTATCGAACTGGGCAGCACTGAGGGTTTGTGAAGATCTGCTGGTAAGCCTCAGAAGAATTACAGCAGGAAGTTCAGTGCATCATCTCAAATGACAGTTGCATTGCAAATGTCATGTGAATTCCTCTGATAAATCACCGTGACAAGAAAAACAGCAGGCTTCTTGCAAAGGGCTGTTCTTTTTGCTGGGCGCACACGTGTTCTACCAACCACCTCAGCTTATGAAGGCAGATGCCATGCAGCCTGCAAACCATCTCGGTAAATCCTTGCAGTGCCCTAGACCCGTCAGCCTCTTTTGCCCAGCAGATCTGCAACAGGTTTGTGTACAGCGAGGTTTCCAAGCACCCGGGATCCCCTGTGAACTCTGCAGGCCTGCCAGTGGACTTGCTGATGGTGCCAGGATAGTGCCTACGATCGTGCCAGCCATGTCTTTCCCCTGCAAAGCTGCAGCTCAGAGGCAGATGGGGGCATGTGAATAAGGTTACACAGGTAGTTTCCCTTCAGCATATCCCTCCCATAAGACCCTCAGTCATTTTAGAAACATCCTGAGCCCCAGCAGGTCTGGGGTGGCCTGAGCCTCTGACTTCCCTGAGATTTGCTGTGCGTTAGCCTGGGTTTCACTGCTCTCTTCTCCTCTCTCCCCTCCTGCAGCCCTGATGTGGAGTTCTGTGGCTACTGCATCACGCACCCCTCTGAAAGCAAGATCAACTTCCGGATCCAGACCAGAGGTATGGGTGCGTGCTTTTCCTTTGTGTCCGGGGCCCTCTTTTTGTCTAATTCCCCCTGCTCACGTCAGGTTTCCGCCATGAGTCATTTAAATAAAAAAAAAAACACTTTTCTCCCTCTTCTCTGCTAGCCACCTGCAACTGCTGTGCCCTGTTGCTTGGCTGGAGAGGCTGGTCCCAGCCATTATGCCACAGCTCTTCTGTTTCCCAACTGTAGGGCTGAGCCAGCTGAGGCCCGAGGAGCTCACAGACTTGCCTGGTCCCAGGTATCTGGGTTGGCTGGCAGCCAGCACCCAACTGTAGTGCCGGGGTAGAGTAGATCTGCTGCTCACTGTCACAGGTCATGGGTGCTCCATCTGCCCCTAAATCAGCACGGGGACTGGAAAGCAAAGCCAGAGTGTGCTGACATATGTAGCTGCAATGAGGTAATTTGTTTCTGCTTCCCCTTCTCAGCTGTCTTGCAGCTTTGGTCATCAGGCTATGACCCAAAGCTCTTTTGAAAAGCCTCATCAGTCTGTGCTGTCTTCCGACTTGCCTCCCAAAGAGGACTTTGTTCCCTGATAATAGATAGCACTGACAACTCTGAGCCTCTTGCAGTCGCTCACTCCTCCCAGCACACCAACCCCTTCAGCTCAGTCCACTGTCCTCCATCCAGGCCCTGCAAGCTCCACAGCTTTGTCTGCTGCATGGAGGGGCAGTGTTATTTCATTCCTTCCTCATGGGGCTGTTCCCTTGAGCATCAGATATGTAGAAGCCACTTCCTGGAAGCAAGTATCTAGTTTGTGCTTGCTGACTCTTTAATTTCCTAAAAATAATTAGTGCTCAGGCTGTTCGCCTTGCTGAGGGAACCCCTTCCCCATGGGACTAACTGCAGGGTAAGTGTCTGCTGTTCCTGCACCGCAGCCTGGACCACCACGCTGAGCTCAGCTCTCGGGCTGCTGCTGGTGGGCTGGTAGGAGGGAAGTGTGTGGGCACATACGTGGTGTAAGAGCCTCTCCCCATCACGGGGACTGCCCTCGGCCACAGTGGTAACAGGCACGCTGCCTCAGAGCGGCGAGGGAGAGGGCTACCAACCCCTTTGGAAGCCACCTGCCATTTCACTAACGCATCTTCTTTCCTGAAGGGGCCCTTCCTGCTGTTGAGCCGTTCCGGAAAGGGCTGAACGACCTGATGGGTGTTTGCCAACACGTGCTCAACACCTTTGAGGTGAGACTATTCCTGAAGAGCTCGGGGGCCTTTTCTGTCTCTTGGTCTCAGAGGGGAGAGGAACGGGCTGAGATCTGTGTTGTAGTCACTTTTGACGTGAAAAACCTGACTGATAGTTTTTTCAGACATTCTCTGCCTGACCTGAAGCATGGCCTGGCTTCCTTTCCCTTGGAGTGACTGTAAAGCTCCGTCACTTCTGAAAGTAGCTGGAGCTCTGTCAGAGCTTCTCAGGTCCCTCAGCCTTTCCAGGCGCCGGACAGCGAAGTCACAGCGCAGACTAGGGTGGTGGCACTGTGGTATGAGAGTCACTCAGATACATGCTGTTAACATTTGTCCTTTGCTCTTGTTTGCAGAGGAGCATGAAGGAGTACAGGGCCCAGAGGGAGGAAGAGATGCAGTAGCATTTGGGGGTGGCAGTCCCCATGGATGTGTGTAATGTCTGTGTGTTGAATTCCCTGTGTCAAGAGTTTTTGTTTGGTTGTTCTTTTATGACCACTTTGATGCAAACCTGTATTTTTCTCTAATAATAAAGTTTATGAAGTTTGATGCCGCAGAGGTGACACTGCGTTCAGCTCAACACGGGTATGGAAGATGACAGCTAGAAGGCAGCTCTTTCACTCTTCCATCTTATTTCTTTCCCTCTCCAAGTGTCGTTGCTGTTTCCTGCCCAGAATTTTCAGATCACGGAGTTTGCAGGTAGTCTGGTGCACAGAATTCGCCTGCCCCAGAGTCCACAGGGAGCAAAGGGGTTCAGTGCTGTGTAAAATCAATCTTTTAGAGAGGCAGCACCCTCTCCCAGTTTAAATCTTTCTGTTCCTGGCACCAGTGCAGTTGACTTCAACAGATGCGGCCAGCCTTCCTTTTCAAACAGATCACTATAAAATGATACTCTGCTCATTTGGGGGGTGAGACGAGTGAAAAAACACTTGCTTTTTTTTAACCCCCCTGAAGAATGCAGACAGAGGCAAGCCCAGACCACTCCTCATGAGCAGGTTTAAAGGGTACAACACTGAAGCCCTGGCCCTGTTTGGATCTGCTGGCAGCTAGCCAAGTGAAAGCCTTTTGTTGAGTGTAACGTGGCATGAAATTGCAGGGGTTTTTCTGCTCCATGCCAGGCGTAGAATTGTGAACCTTTACGGTTTGCTCTGCACAGAGGGGACGCCTCTTGTCTCTTCAGTGGAGGTCTGCAGTTACCAAAGGAACCTGCTGACACTCAATTAAGTATTTAGCAGACTTTTCAGACCCCCTGCTGCTTAATAAGAAACACCCAGAGATTTTCCTTTCAAACACCAACATGTTTTATTAACACAGAGAGGAATAAGAGGGAGGATGTAAAATGTCAGGTTTTCTCTATAAAATCATTCTTTCAAATACGAATTGACAGACTTGGTCTCTCTGTCAGGCTGGCCCTGGGTTTGTGTTCGCAGGTGTTAGGCCAAGAAGGCAGCCGAGCCCTATGTTTCATAATAAGGCTCCTTTGCCTCTCAGTTTGCTGCAACGGATTCATCCTGCCCATGCCAACATGGTCCCACATCTATAGCGGGCAGCTGCTGTGGCTTTGCTTTTGGCTACTCCTGTCTGGCCTGGTTTCTCCATGCTGAAACCCGTGGGTGGTTAAAGCATGCTTTCACAGGGGGCTTGGGACACAGCAGGGGTGCGTGGGGAAGAGGGGCTACTCCTGGTGGGTGCTGGTGAGTGTTCCGCCCCGCTGCGTAGGAGCAAGCACAGGGCCGGGGACTTTCTGGTTGGAGAATTCCCCAGCCCAAGCAAGAGGGAGACATAAAAAAGCAGGAAAGCAGTTTCCCCGGGGCAGGGGGGAGAGGGTGAAGGGGTGAGTAAGCCAGGAGCTGGCTCGTGCACCTGGGCTCAATCTCAGCCCAGGTGTCGTGGAGAATATTTATCAGGACTTGAAACCTCGCTGGTCATTGACCTGCTGGTCACTTCCTCCAACGTCCAGGGGATGCTGTGGGCCAGCTACATGTTCCCTGAGCTGGGCTGGAAGGACCACTCTGTTCCTGGACATCCTCTGCCTGAGGAAGCAAGGAAAGGACGAGCATGCCCATAAACTGTAGAGCTCTTCCCTGTGAATGGGCAATAGGAGCTGGCAGCAAGGAGCTGTCTTTGCATTTGCACTTCCATGAGCAGCTAAAACAAGACTGTGCACGCATCCCTTCTTTTCTGATGTTCGTTACTTTCCCTCTGACCTGAAAATTGCTGGTCCTGGTCTTGGTTGTAGCCCAAGGGAGACCTTCTAGGGCTGGGAAAATGCCATTTGGATGCCAACGCAATGTAAGAGCTTTTAACGGGTACCATTTCTAGCTGGTATCTCAGCTTGCTTCTCCTCTCCCTCTCCTCTCACACTTGGTCAAACTTTGTGACGTTGGTTTTAACAGGAGACATCTGGGAGGAAAACACAAGGGGAAAACTATGCCAAAGGAGGATGAAGTCACTGTTAAACAGACGTGCAGCAAGTGACAGCGATGTCCAGAGCTGGGATAAATTCGTGTCAGTCTGTTTGTTGCAATATTAATAATGTGCAGATCTGAGACTGGTTTTGAACCATTTAAGGCTAAAATGTTGATCTGAGTGTAGCTGCTAATGCAGATATGATTAAATCTGCTCTTGGAGCATAAAAAGAGATGTTAGCCACTTGGGGCCCAGGAGGTTAAGCAAGGTAAAAGGATTCCCCTGTGTGCCTGTAATTGGTATCTGTCTTGTGAATATTAGCAGGTCCTGGCTGTTCTGCCCGTCCTTACGAGAGGAGTGTGGCTCTTCAGTGTTTGGGATGCTGCTCCTTATGGCATTACCAAGGGTCACTACGGGGAAATTGTCAAGATGCTTCAGTCTTCGCTGAAATGAATGGGAGCCGTGCATTTAAATACGCTAGTTCCCATGCACTGTGCAAGTAAAAGACAGAACAACCCTTGCTCGGCTGCTGGCAGGCACTACACTGCATGACTGCCTGCTTTGCTCTTGTTTTAACATGATAAGGCTGACTTTTACTGGTTGGGACTGACTTTATTTTGCAGCAAGGAGGACAGCAACAGCCAGGGACAGGTCTCTAGCTTTAAATTCCTAAGCTTCTTTCTCTCTTTGCTATTTCACCTTTTTGGTGCTTGTGGCTTCTCTACCAGGAGGACGTGCAGAGCTCGATGCTCTCTCCTGCTTCTTTGAGGCACTGAGTGCATTTTAGCTGGCTCCTGTGTCCCCAAAGTATTTCAGTCCTCTAGAGAACAGTATCTCCCTCCCCCATGTCCTGGTACAATGAGCCGGTGTCCACGTCCCTCCTGGGTCTGGAACAATCTTGTTTCTAAAGAAAGCGGCTTCTCCTGACTCTCTGCCCAAGGAATCCTGTCTTCTGACAACTCCAGTTCATTTGGCATGATTTCTTTTTAATTAAGGGCAGCCCTGTGACTGGCGTTGCAGGGTCAGGTTAGAATCATAGAATCGTTGGAACAAACCAGCTGAAAACTAGCACCTGGGCTAGCAGAGGAGCAGTGTATGTGCCAGGAGGGCAGAGGTGGGCAGGACAGGGGAAGCCACGTTCCTTGCACGTGTGCGTGCTCATCCTCAGCTTGTCTCCAGTGCTGATTTGGGGCTGAAGCTGGCCCTGCTCAGTGCACCTATTGGCCTTGAATTACCTACTGTGACCCAGACTTACCAGCTTTACCTGACAGGTCTCCAGATCTGACCCACAGCATCCTCTGCTCGCTGGAGTCGTCAGCCTTCTCCAGGTTGTCCAGGCTATAAGGGCACTGACCCAAATCAGCCCCCAGCAAGCAAGTCCCCTGCTTACACAGCGTTTCTCACCTACGTGACTCCCGTGGTGGGGTTACACAGGGGGTTGGAAAGGTGTGGGCTGGTTCCTTTGTCTTCCCTGTCCTGGGCTTACAAACTCTTCCCTGGAAGGACAGGACCTTGGGCCAGCAACGGTGCCTGGCTAGCCAGGAGCTCATCTGTCCCTGGGGAGGGGGAAGCTGGAGCAGATGGTTTGGCTGGATGCTGCCACTAGCTTCTGCCAAGGATAGCTGGTCCCCTAAGCTGGGCAGTCACATATGATCACTTTCTTGTGCCATACACAGGTGGGGTGAACATCGTCCCTGGGTGGCGAGCCTGGGGCAGATTTCCCAGGAAAAGGTAAAGAGGAGGGGGGCTTTTAGGGCTCCCCAGGTCAGGTTGGTCACACAATGAAGCCAAGTTACTGCCCATCTCTCCCTACGATGAACAGGAGGAGATTTCAGGCCATTGACGGTCTACCGGACATACATGGTGCCTGGACCTTATCCTGGCTCTCTGCCCAGGGACAAACTGTCCCAGCAACAGAGGGAGATGATAAGGGATGTTATCAAAGTTTTTCTTTGGCTTTTTCCGCTGGAAATTGTCACTCGTGGTCCTATCCCTCCCCTCCTCATCCCACATCCATCTCAAAGTGACCACATTTCCACCTTCCTTCCCTTTTCACACTCATCCCCCTGCCCCACGTTTCTACCCAAGATAAATGGCCGTAAGTCACTTGGTTTTCCTGCAAGGAAATGAAAAATCCTACAAGGGTCTGAATCCCCTTCCCCCTCCTCCAGAGGCGACTTGGACCAGAGGACGGATCAGCATGGTTCAGAGGCTGTGTTCAGAGCTAGTCCCAGGGGTCCGTGAAATGCTGCAGCTCCTTCCAGGTGGATTACAACACGAAGGCAAAAACAATTCAGGCCCAGCCAGGAAACAGCTGTGTGAGAGAAACGGAGGGGTCCTGCCGTCTTGGCACAGTGCCTTCTCCTCTCGGCCCCGCGGGTGGCATGGCTTTAGGAAGAGCTGTACTTGTTACTCAAGCGGGAGCTGCTCCGGTCCAGCCCAAGCTCCTGCCCGTTGGCTTTCCACTTCCCAACAGAGCCCTTCTCGTCTGTCGGCGTGATGCTCAGAGCTGGTCTCTGGCACCAGCAGCACAGGCAGGACTGCGAGGAGACAAGAGGGTGGAGAGAGAGGTTACAAGCGTGGGCTACAGGGTAAAAGAGCAGGAAACATTCCCTTACTGATGTTGGCAAGTCAACCTGGGCAGTGCCAGGCTGGGAATCGCAGCCTGCACTTGCTGTCCTGCCGTTCTGCTGGGAGCAGGTTTTCCAAGATAGGGCTGGTGTGGATTGGAAATGAAGATAATCCAAAATCTTGGATACCTTTTGCAGTTGTGTTTTCTTGTCCTTGGGGGACAGAAAATATGGGTAATGCTTAGCTGGGCTCAGCTTTTCTTTTTGCCACAGCGGCTGGGAGGGGGT